GTCGTCGTCGTCGTCGCCGCCGCCGCCGCCGCCGCCGCCGCTGCCGCCGTGTCGCTAGTAGTTGTAATAGTGTTGCATTTAAAGCCTTAGCGTTTTCACCGGGGGTCAATGCATTCTACTTCTTTTTTCTTTTCTCTGCTTTTTCGTCTTCTAACAAACAGACGAACTACACGAACCGATCATCATCATCATCATCATCACCATCGTCACTGCCATCGTCATGATGGTAATATCGGCGATAGAAGTCGCCGCACCATCGTCAGCGGCGGTCACTATTATGGGCATGCACATAATAATAATATAAAAAATATAATAATCCCTAGATCGATTATATATCGTCCGTTTTTCTCCTCTTATTTAGCCATGTCGCGGCGAACGCAATGGCCGGCGAAAAGTACACGACACGGGCGACCTGTACCCGCGTCTGTGTATCCAAGTATTATACATACGTACGTATGAGGATATACACACACAAATATATATATATATGGTGTCAACAAGAACAATAACAACAACAAACTAGATAGCACTCGTAGATTGTAGACTTTGTGTTCGAACTTTTTAGAGCCGCTATATAGATAGATAGTGGACCAACTCTTTCCTCGTGGAAATTATTCCCTCCTGTCTTACGCTTGTTGGCCAGATGATGCATAAAGAAGTCGACTTCCAGATTTTTGCTGAGCATTTCCTTCGGCTAAATCTACTTCATAAATGGTAAACCCGTTTGGTTCGTCTCACCGGCTAAAAACACGAATTAAAATTCTGAATATATCGGATCAAAGTCGGAGAAAACGAGTAGACTGACAGCATTGTTTAAACATGGCAAACAAATGAGTTCTACGTCATTAGGCAAACAAGTGAGACACAATCGGCACACGATCATTAACACTCCGCGGGAAAAAGATGTTCTGAGTTTTTTTCTTGGTGTGCCCACGTAAGCAGTAACGATCGCTTAGCGAGAGACTCTAACCGTTGGAAGGAGATGTTACTTAAACGTCTGATTTTGGCCTTGCGTTTTGTTTATATGGAAACCTCGGTAAAAGGTTTTCTATGAAGACCTAACTTGTCCCGTGAAAAAGGCTTTTATACCAGTAAAACAGGATGCGTAATGTGGTTGGCTTTAACTTTAAAATAACATATTTTTATTTGAACAGTATAGAATACGAGTGTTTCATCATATTTTGCAAGGACATCTCTTGACGGGTATGTCAGATGAAGAGAATAGTCTTCGTGGAAAAGACAGCTCTTTCCCAGAAAACTTAGCCCTTTTTTTATTAAAAAATAAAAACTTTTCCAAAAAACACTTTTATAGCCAGTCTATGTGCTACGTAAAAGTGTTTTGTCCGGGTTTCAGTCATAAGTTAGACTATTTTAATACCTACTGAGCACGTAAAACTAGTTCCTCTCTAGAGCAATATAACTACCTTAAAAGCGTTCCGCCATGTCTTTCGGTATAAGGTTCCCACTTTTCGTATGAAATTTCGTAGTTTTTTTACCATCATACAGCTACGACTTTTCATCTCAATGTGGTAGATCAGTATTCCTCTAATTTCATCTTCTGTTAACCACTAGGCCAGAGATTTAACGCACTCTGTCCTGTTTCAGGTAGGTCAGCGCGCCAGTTGCCGTCCTTTAAATCAACAACCAGATTATCAGTGGTCGACAAGTGATCCAACGCAAAAGCACCAGCCTCATTCCCACTTATTCGTAGCATTACGTCGGCATGACCTGAACAGCTCCTGCTATTAAATTGTTTTGTTAACGTTCGTTTAAGAGATTTCTGCAATATGAGTCGCGCTTGCACCTAGTTAACTTGCGTAGACTTAAGTATATATTTCACTTGGTCGGTCTGCCCAATTTCAATTTCCTTGACCTTAACATATGGGAGTGCCACGTACTTGTAATCAAAGTGTGAGATTGAGTATCCCACGATGTTTTGAAATTGACCCCCATATCTTTTACAATACAAGGTACGGCAAACATTATATATGTTGTTGCGTCAAATTTGCTTCGATCCATTGAAGGAAAGCGAATCCGTTAATCAATTACGTCAAAAGGCTGAACGCTTTGTGGTTGCCGGAAAGAGTTACGAATCCTCTAACGATATACTCCTGCTTAAAATCTTTCTTAGTCGCCAGACAGCCTTGTATCGTTTCTTTTCACATATTTGTCCTTTTTGCGCAACCTGTCGGAAGGTACTAGCAAACCTATGAGGGAAGAACTCATTGAAGACGGAAGGAGACTAACTCCTTTCGAAGATGCTTTTAATTTATCAACAGCCCGAAAGATACTTCTTTCTTTTCTTGTAGCTCTGCTGATTATAAGAGCAGCGGTAGAAATCCTTTGCAGGACAGCCAGAGAAATGCTATTAAAGGCCTTCCACGGTTAGTCATCGTTGCCGCTGCGGAAGCAAAATAACTGAAAGAAGTTCAGGTTGAGGCTAACGTTGCCTGGGTCTAGCTCCAGCGCCGGATACTAGAAACCGAAAGTGTGGGGTGATTACTCACACACACGCCGTCGTCCATTACCGGCTTTATTTACTCAAAACTCGTGTGCCAACAACAGCAGGATCACAACCGCTACTATTACCACGACCACGAACAAAAGTACTAGCAGCAGTAACGGTAACGGCATGAAGGCCTAATAGGTTTGACTCATCTTCTTGGCGGGACAGAAAAAAGAACTCCAAAACTTCTTCAGTCCCTCAGTACAATCGTCCGGACCCTTCGGCTTTCTTCGCATCTTCCAGCACGAACTTCCTCAGCCTGTCTCCAACTCGTTCCCGATCCTCGTCATGCTCATTGACTGCTTTTGTTGAGTTGGGCTGTCTTTTCGACAGCTCATCTTTATTGAACAATAAAGGAGAAAAATGTGCCTAGCTCGTATGTTGAATCGTTCCGCTTACAGCTAGATAGAAAAACTATGCAGAGAAGGATATGTGGGCTTAAACACTATGGTTCAATAGAAAAACCTTAGAAGCTGATCGGAAGGTTTTCGCCTACAGGAAAACTTAAGGAAAGAAAGGGTGTGGGCAAATAAAATTGTGTCTCAAGTGTGGATGTTGCTACTCAGGTGTGTACATTCTAGTATCAAGACATTCTTGATAAACGTAACTTAACATATTTGAACTAGGGGTCCATAAAACAAGCTGAATTGTAATGCATGCGGTCCTTATATTGGAGCAGTTTAGTGAGTATCTGTTACATGGCCATGTTATTCTCTTCCAACTTTTTCTTCGTTATAATGTCCATCCTTTGATGAAGTAAAAACTCATTCGCAAAGGCGTTTATATACTGCATCCTTTTACAATGTTTGTCAATTACGGTGCCTTATGTATAATTATTTCATTTATTATGCCAAAGGTCTGATTAGTCGTTAGATAATTCAGAAGTCGAAACAATATGCAAGCTGACTTCGTTTTAAGGACAACTAGAATGACACATGCGATCCGATCGTATGTTAAGAATTGTGGCAGTGCTAGCCTTGATTCTTTCTACCGATTTAAAGCTTCGAGAGGCCTAGTTCTATGACTGCAATTAGCAATAGGCTTAACACAATCCTTAGGCTATGAATACATACATTTGCGTGCTCTAAACGTGTCCAGCGTGCGAATCTTGGCGAAATGCTCTACAGGGAATGTAGAATACAACAAAACGTATGATTGATGTTACCAGGTCCGTGCGGTCTCTAATAATCACACGCGAGTTATTTATATATAAGGGATAACTGTCAATAATCAATTAACATTATTCTTGTCCTTAAATCGCATCGGACTGCGACAATATTCCTGTTTTCAGGTCGTACTTTCGATCAGTTGCAGCGAACTACGACAACTGTCAATACAGCTGTTTAGACCAACGACATCGAAGCCCCTATTCGGCTAACTGGTAATATCCGTATTCGGACCATAGTCGGTCAACGCGAATAAGGAGCT